ACAAACGATGCGCATATTTTTCTGTCGTCAATAGATTTTTTTTATCTTGTTTTCTACTGTTGTCGTGGTAAAAATGGGTGACTCAAGGGAATCATGAATCCAGAAAGATTTCAGTTTTTTTTTTTCAAATTTATTCGGCTTTTTCTTTTCTCTTTCTCTCTCTCTGTGTGTGTGCATTGAAATTGCGTCAAGCGCGCTCCATAATTATCGTCGACTGTCTGGCAAATATGTGATTATTGCTTAGAAAAGAACATGAATGAAATCGAAAATGGCAAATATATCAGCCAGGGTATGAGCAAATACATCGATCGTGCATCGACGTCAACGTTTTCGGGAGACACAACGCGACTAATGTCATCGTACACACGTTGCCAAAGTGATAACAAAAGCAAAAACGACCCGATGTTATATGGCCAAAGCTATTCATGATTCAAATGCAATGATGAATGACGGCTGTCATTGTCGTCATCGGCATCACCGCTGCTGTCGCGTAACCAATATACATCACAAATGGTACATATGCATTACAAGAACATAGTAATTTTCTTTGATTTTGAGATCAGTTGTGGCGATAGAGAGAGAGAGAGAGAGAGAGAGAGACAATGCTCAATAACCACTATTTTGATGTAGCAAATTATGAGGCCATGACATATCCCACGTACACATGCACAAGTGAAAAAGAGTGTGTGTGAGAGAGAGAGAGAGAGAGAGAGTCAAGCGCTAGTTTTTGTTTTCGCTATTTCGAATACGTACGATGAATAAATTGAAAATCACACATTGTTTGATTTCAACACAACGCCGCCAACAATAATAATATTATGTAAACATGTCACATTCAATTATTTTATTAGGTTTTACATTCGCCTCTCGGATCCTTTCGCTCCCTGTGTGTAATTCTTCTTCTTTTTTTCCGATGCATTCAATGCAAATTTAACCCAAAAATTATTTGGCGAATTTTAATGACTGGATGCTGTTGACACAAATGGCAAAATACACGAACGTCATTTTTTTTGTTCTGTTTTACAAACAACAGTGTTGCGTGCAATTTTCACATCGACAGGCAGACAGGCTGGCACACCATTTTACAAGATGTAAACAAAAACAATGCATTGATTTTGTGCATGCAATTTCGTGATGCAGCAGTAGCAGCGGCGGTATTTTTGCATTTGGTGCAATTTAAATGGGGAAACCGTGCGTATTGCAATCATCAAATAAAAATTAACACCCACGATTATGTTGCAACGATGAAAGCGGCGAGACAGCATCGATGCGCTTACCGGTGCAACATGCCGGTTCATTAAAAAAATTGAACACCCATCAAACAAGTGAGAAACAACTCAAGCTGATGCAAACGGCTATCGAATTTTTTCGCCTCAAAGAAGAGATATCAATGGTTGCATGCATAAATTTAGCTGACGAATTACAATCATCGAATCGGACGAAAGTGTCGAAAATTACACGTTCCATTTGAATTTCGTGTATTTACTTTATAAATGGCAAAAACATTCTGTGAAACCCAAGCTCCAAGTTTTCTCTCAACTTGAGGTGGAAAATTGGCAAGAAACTGCTTGATGACTAGAGGCAAGGTACCGTTTTAAGGCGCTTCGAAGCTTCGATAATGTAACAAATTCCATGTGGATTTCAATTGAATGTGATTGCGAGCAGCAACGGTCGTTACACAACGTGAGGCAATACCTTTTCAGTTTGAGAGGGCGTTTTATAGAACAGATTTTCCTTCCTTTGTAATTGTTTGTGTGCGTGTGTGCTTTCGTTGTTCCCTGCTTAGGGACTTCAGTCACGTTTATATGAGCCAAGTTTTTTTCCTCTATCTCTCTCTCTCTCTCTCTCTCTCTCTCCCCAACTTGGACTTTGTGTGTTTTGAACCGTCTTTGATTCGGTGGACGATATCCCAACCATGAAACATTGATATTTGCAACTCAAGAAAAGTCGACAGTCTTTCCGGTCAGTTTCCGTTTTGTGTTGCTTTAATGCGTACGTGAATTCAACGTACGTGGATGGATGCTAAACACAACCCGAATGCTTTGCACAAAACAGTAAAGCATACAATACGGAGGGAGAGAGAGAGAGAAAAAAAAAGAAAAAGAATAAACGACCCAACAAATATACGAAACATTTGGCTCATTTGTACATCTAAACACATACCAAGTATATATCTGTGTATTTAGGTGGTACTTGACATATTAAATGGTTTTCGGGTGTTCCATCAACCATCCCGTGAATATATGCTCTCTTGAAATGCATGTTGTGTTTCAAGTTTGTACAACACAAAGAAATTTCAGAAGATGATTCGAAGGAGAAAATCTGTCGGTAAACACACGCACAAAGCTAAATGGGTGGAAAATCGGACATTTTAAACAATAAAATTGTGTGCTTCGACTGATGATGCCGTTGTCAACTAGGTACAAACACATATATATAGCTTATAGCGTAGATACTACATACGTAGAAGATTCTAATTGATTAAGAAATATGCGAAGAGAAACAAAACCTAGTCATTCGTGCGAATTTCCTTCCTTTTGAATACCAAATCGATCGAACCAAAGGTATTAATTTCGATATATTTGCCCAATCCACACACGCACACATACCTACAAACACACACCACAATCTAATTCTCGCCCAACAATTCAATTCAACCAAATTGCAGAAATCGTATCGAGTGCCAAGCCATAAATCAAATTTAAATTGCCAATCGAAGCGATTTTAATTGAAATACATGTTAATTCATTTTTTTGCTGTGATTTTTGTTGCCTTTTCTTTTCCGTTTTTTTTTCTTTCTTTTTTTCTTCTTGGTTGAGCAGCCAACAAAGATTGCTTCAATACGATATATTCAGAGTTATTGGTTCGGCGTACAATAACACTTGATGCATAAATGATTAAAAAAAAATGTACGAAAATTGTTTTGTTTTTGTTTCAACAGCAGAACCAATTCACTTTGGTCATTTAGTGAAGTTGTTATTTTCGCCAGCAAAGTCCGATTTGAATGATAAATGGTTCAGCGAGCGAAAGTCGTATCGAATGATATGTCAATTCAACGAACAACAACAACCAAACAACGAGCAGTAGTTAAATGGAAATATTTTGGAAGCAAAATAATTATTTAATTGGCTAACGGCTATTTTGGGGCTCGTTCGAAGCATAACTCAAGTGAAGCATAAACAATTTTCATTTGGTTTATCCGACAGATACAGTGCATAGCAATATTCGGTTTATGCATTCGTTTGTTCATTCGTTCGTTCGATCGAACGAATCGAAGGATTATTACGGTTTGAAACTGGCGGTGATGGTGCCGAAGCAGCGAATCAAACGCGCAAGAAAGAACGCAATAATTGAATTTCAAATTTTATTCCGTTGGAGCAAAATCAAATTGAATGAGTACATCGACTTGAAATTAATACAAAAATGTATATATGCAATTGGGATGCCGAAGCCAGCCCGAAATAAGCATATAAATATTTAAGCATTCATAGTCTCATTCTCTCTTCATCTTGTTCGTTCCGTTCGTTCGGTTATTTGCTATTGACAAAAATTGTTGTTAGAAAGTTTATTCGTGCGTTCACATTTCTATATCGCAAACAATATTTAATAGAAGCATGAATTTAAATATATGTAACATCTAAAGTATATGTAGTCTATCTATCTGGTGTTTTGCCTGGTATGCAATTGGCGTTCAGAGCCAACTCTCACTCTATCGTCAAATAATTCGAATATTCTATGTAGAAGAGTAACAACAACAACAACAGCAGCAGCAACAAAACGAACGGCCTCTAGTAACAACGAAAAAGAGAACAACCGAATCGAGCGGAAAATAAAAATCCCTTCGCAACAACGTTGTCGGAACAAATATCGCCCGCTCTCTCTCTCTCTCTCTCTCTCTCTCTCTCTCTCTCTCTCTTTCTCTTTCTCTCTCTGTATTCTGTCGACCGAATTGAATCGCACAAAATCTTGCGTACACAAGCAAATGTGAGTAATGTGTTTTATTAACAAAGCAAACGAGTCTACTTGTACGTTGAATTTTTGGCAGCCAGTATGGGTATTCATGCTTCGCTTGATGTTTGTCTATCCTCCGCCTTCTGTTGTGTCTCTTTCATGCCATCGCATTCGAATGGAAAATCTTCGGCTTCTTTTTGTATGTATGTATGTGTGCTTTGTGTTTGCCTCCCTGTCTTCCGTTTGTGTTATTTTTTCTGTGCAGTTGGATCTCCATTCATTTGTTGTCACGGAATCGTCAATGCGAATGGGATGCCCGTTTTTGGCGTGTGTGTGTATCTATGTGCGGGAACATCGAATAACGGCATTTATTTCAATGGTAAAAACGTTCAAATGATATGCGGAAAACACCCTTTTTCCACTTCGGTTTATTTGTAGAAAAGCTTTTGCAATATCTAAATCGAATTACTTAAAAATTCTCTCTTCGACATCGCGTTTTTTTTCCTTTCGTCCTCTCCCTTTCTCTCTCTCTCTTTCTCTCTCTCTCTCTCTCTAACTCTGCTTTGGTTCGGTTCGGTTCCGTTCGTTCACTCATGGGGTGGCCGTGCCATGAGGCGATGTCACACATCCATTCATCCACTGAAAATCGTATGCTAGCATGCGTTCAATACGTATCTCCGATGTTTATCCAATTATGTAAAACTTTTGAACAAGCAAAAATAGAAGAAATTCAATTACAATCACTGCATACAAACTCGCATACACATTCGTTCATTCGCTTGCCATTGAAGAGTTCACGTAGAAAGAAATCAAATCAGAAAAAGAGGGGAAAAAAAACTTGAAAAATAACGTACACACACGAAAAAACAGCGCAAAACAATAGAAAAAGATGTAACATTTCACGGCATCACTGTTGTACATTCTTCAGTCAGCAGAATTTCTGGTTGTTTTTTTTCCAACTTTTCCAAACTTTAAGAATAATAATAATGCAATTTTCACAGTAATAGCTAACTTCTGTGTAGTAAATATAAACGCATTTGCAATAGACATTTTCTGTTGTTTGTTCTCATTTTTTCTTTATTTGTGTCAACGTGAATCACGATTCGAATATATATTTCAATGTACAAAATAATACTTGTTTCTTGGACGGATTTCATTGCTTCAATCACAATGTGAAACGGTGCTTAATTCAATAAAGTCTCAGAAGAAGTGCGACAAAATGGACAGTAGCCCTTTTGTAAAACCTGTAGTTCAAAGTCTTCGGAGTGAAATACCTGCAACGAGAGATTTAAAACACAAATAATTAACTCAATTTCGACGAAATGAGAAAGATTTAAAGCCATTTTGAATTCTTCATAGTAAGACTCACCTGTAAGCACTCAGGGCACATACTGATTTGCCATTCGGGCATTAAATTTCGATAATACTTAGTCTTCAGTGGCGCTGGCCACTTTGCAATGAGCACTGTGGTTGGGTCCAATGCGCGCAGAGCGTCACGATCCAGTGTCAATGGTAAAATATCGGATACTTCTTCATTGATCATTGTATCGACAAACGGATCCATGGATTCGATATTGGTCTTTGGCGGTGCGAGTAAAAGCCGCTCTACTTCTTGCTCAGGGATATCATCTTCGGGAGAGAATTCCACCAACGGTAAGATTTCTGAACAAAAAGAATTGGAAGAAATGACAAAGAATTTTATAAGAATCGAAATTGAGTTTTTCCCATTCTTTTTTTGATTCGTTTTTCTTTTGCATAACTATTCTTAGCTTCGCATTTGAAATACAAATCAAATTTGCTTAGTGATGCTTACCAAATGAAACAAAAGAGAAAATATAGTGATGTTGGCACGATGGGCATTGATTTCCACGTAGATGCGAATTGTAGTTAGAGCATTTGTAGCACATCGGCAGTGAATCTTCGGGGTCATTGAATCCACCGGGGCAGGCACGGCTTGCGATGTAATTTATCTGTAGAAGTGACAATTTTCCAAATCAAATCATATATGTGAACAAGTTTCAGTCAAATGGTGAAGTATTTCCATCTAAAGTACTTACATCGACTTGTTCTTGCAAAGCTGACGGAACTCGTAGCTTTTGGATGCGATTGTTGACTTGCAGATTGAGTTTTTTGTAGTTCAACTCTTTCGCTTGTTTGGCCAATGTATACAAAACGGCACTGAAATATTACAATTACTGGTAAATGAGTTTCTTTTGAAAAATTGCATGTAATCTAATCGGTATGAACAGAAACGAAAATTCTCTTTCAGTTCTTTCTACTCACAACATGCCAATTCCTTTTGGTGGCAATCCATTGTCTGCTCCAATTTGATTTACGACATAGCGGCTGGTATTGAATAGCGCTGGTGCCGAGTAGCTCGTGAATGGTTCGGACAAATAGTTGTGAATGGTTGCATAGGCGTAGTAAATTGTCGAAAGTCGGTGTAAACTTTCGTATTTGGCTAATGCTTCATTTGAGATCGGTTCATGTTTTGGCAATGACTTGAGAAATTGTCTTGCCCGCAACCACATGTAGTAGCTCGCATCCGAAAAGCGATTTTCCGAAATCGAGCAATCGGTTAAACTATTCAAAAGCCTAATCGCTTCCTGCGGTTGACCAGCAAGAATGTAGGCCTCATGCGCTTTAATAAATTCATCCGATTCGGCCAACCACTGTGCATGTTGGCTATGTACTGATTGCAAGACTTGTGGCAAATTCTCGGCCAAACGAAACGCTTCGGCCCAATCGCGTGATTCAACATGTAACTGAACCACTTGAGCCTCTTCACCGAGTTTCCTGTAGATTTCAGCCGCCAAAGGTAACGACTTTAATTTTCTCAAATTCGATGCCACCAAATTCAGTGCAGATCGATCATTTTGGCTCAATCGGCGACCGATGTCGTACAATCTGCAATTGAAAGTATCAAAATGTGCGTTTATTTCAAATTAGATATATTCGAAGAAGAAAAAAACAGTTGGAAACATACACATCGGCCCATCCTTGTTCGGCAACGATTTCAATGGCTCGTTCATGTTCGCCGGCACTCAACAGCAGTTCAGCAGCTGCTCTTGGCTCATGAACAGAACATGCCCATTCAGCTCGTTTTCGCACCAGCTCTCGTCGATCCGATGAATCACCCTCTTTCAAGAATTCCTGAGCCAAATCGAACATTCGCAAATCGGTGTACATTGCCAGCGCTTTGTTACTGTATCCATTCTTCTGATACAATCTGGCTGCTTCTTTGAATTTACCAGCAAACGCCAAATTGTCGGCTTGCAGTATTTCCTTGGGTACGTCACCGCGTTTTTGACGTTCTCGGATTTCATTTATATGTTGAAGCCAGGGCAAATTCCGTACACGAACATATGCATTCTTTGCTACTGTAAGCTGGAGTGCATCCACAGCCGCGTGAGCTAATCCTTCCCAGTCGGACGATGATACACCTAAGCATGCCACCTGATAAGCCTCTCTGTGTTGAAGAATTTATTGGATTAGTACTTAAGTCGTTCATGGAATAGAAAAGCTAAGTTATAATTTGATCCTTCGACACTTACTCGAATAGACCTGCTTCGATAAATTGCCACATAGTCGAGCCCAAAGAGAGTGATACATTGTTCATCATATTTCCGCGAAGGCAGAATGCCGTGGCGCCACACAGGCCAACCACAACACCGAGCATCGTCTGTGGGCTACGTGGAGGCAAAGTGCCAACACGAACACTAATTCCGCCCGTTGTGTGCGAATAGCAAAGCATCGACTCCAAATGTGTATTCCATGAAACGGAATTCACTCCACTATCCTAAAAGGGAACCGAAAATTATTGGTTTGAACGGTCAAGTCAAATCGAATGAATCGATTTCTATCTTACTTGGTATAGCATTGCATCATTTATCAAGTCACGCACAACCAATCGACCTGCATCATCGACGATCGCCAATTTGGTCCGAGTAGAATTTAAATCCAAGCATCGAACCGATGATAGAACAGTTGTAATCAGCATTGGTAAGGAATTATCCAGAAAAATGCGCCACACTTGCCCGTTCTTCAAACCCAAAAACAATCCTTCACGTCCCGGCGGCCCACCAGTAACTTTGATGTAACGAATAAAACTATCCAGGACCCATTCTCGTTGCAACATACCCGAAAAGTCCAGACTTTGCAACTTTTTCTCCTGACACAAGACCAGATGCTGAGCGCATACAACGAGCAAACTACAATCAAATTTTTTGCCAATTTTCTCCTTCACTTTGTAATGCATCGGCTGATTCTCGGCTGAACTTAGTTCATATAAAACAACGCGCTCGGGCAACTGCACGGCCAAGCGATTTCGATAGATGGCAATTTTATTCACCAAATCACGGCACTTTATTCTCACTTTCTGGCCGGACACTAAATGCTGAATGATTATGTCGCACATATTCTCACGAAACGCGTAGCGCTCGCGATAAAGCGCATGGACGGTGTTAAAAGCAAGATTGTAGCAGGCAAGTGTACCATCTTGACAGCCGACAACCTGAAATTGGAGAAAGAAAACCAATTTAGTCTCAATTAAGTGAGTGTATAATTTAACACGGATTCAATTCAGTGTCAATATC